GATTGATACATAATTGAATTTGAATCTTCTCAACTTTGTTTTGCTTACAAAGAATTGAGTTTATTAATTGAGGTTTAGAAATAGACTTTGGATTTTGAAGATTATTTTTGAAAGTTAATCCTGCTGGTTGAAATCTTCTATCAATTCAGCCATCATCAGAGATTTAATTTGTTTGATTTGAATTTTGTCAACTCATCAACTTCAGTCATAATCGGGAGGAGCATCAGACTTGCTAAATACGAGCTCAGTCTCGTCAACTGCAGTTCTAAGTAGGAGGAAGATTAGACTGATCAAATGTGACTTACTATCATGCCTTATAGACAAGACAACCCACACAAGAGCTTGAATTTCTAAAAGAAGTTTAAGATTTTTAAAGTAATTAGACATTTTCAAATCATTTGCACGCTGCTCAAAATAGAGGCAAACTAGATATTTTAAATAGAGGCAAACTAGATATTTTAAGGTTCAATATGACACGCTGCTCAGAATAGAGGCAAACTAGATATTTTAAGGTTCAATATGCTTTTCAAAGAGAACATTGAATGAGAATTTTAAGAATTTAGTATATTATTAAAAATAAGATATTTTAATATTCGAGTCTATTAATGCCCGCACTGTATTCTCGGACCATACTATCACACTTTCAACACTGTGCCCTAAGCATATGCGGGTTGGTTTGCAGATTTGTATGCATTTCAATATGCTTTAGGCTATAGTAATTTGCTCTTCGTTGCACATCCAAATCTTGTGTTGATATGCATGCATAGTCTAATAATATTTTAAGTTAATCAATTATGCATGTCTTTGAAAGAGAGGCGCATTAATCAATGTTTTTTCACAAAGTTTAAGATGACATCTTTAAGTCTAAACTAACTTTCAAAATTTTATCGAGTCCAAAATTCATTTGAATTTTGTGTTTGCTTGATTTTTTTTTGGTTAAATTAAATGCCAATATTTCATTTAAGCATCTGTATCGTCTTCTATCCGCTCTGATGGCGAACTGGAGATGAGTAGGCATTTTGTTCATATTGAACAATATCAATATTTTCATTTTTATATAATTGTTACTTATTGAGATTAGGCCCTGCATCCATCTTTTAAACTTATTTGCTTCAAATTTTTGAAGATCGTGGGTTAATCCCTTGGCGTAAAAAGTTCTGTTTGATTTTGCGAGCGAGCTGCCTAATTCACTACAGGTTGCGTTCGTGCTTGCGGGTGAGCTATATAGTGAGTCCCTTATAGGTTTTGCTTATTGTTAAAATTTTGTTTTCTTTTTATATTTTCATTTGAACTCATCTTTTATTATTTTGATTTTGCAATTCCTCTTTCAATCAATTTTGATTAATTTGACCTTTTTTAAAAAATTCTGTGTAAGTCCAATTTTCAGTCAAAATTTCGGCAGCACTCTGACATCACCTTTCCCTGTGAGGAGTTTGTTAGCCGAAATGAGTGTGCACATTGTGTTGAACACTAGAGCTACATATTTAAACCAACCCATCTAAAAAGACGTGTATAGGACTTCAATTATCTGCACGAGTAGCCAAAACAAATTTCCCTTCCAGTCTGAAACATCCTGAATGGGTACTTAAATGCCTTGTATGCCTTCTAACCTACTCGTATAAAAAGACGTGTGTAGGTCTTCATATCTATGCACGAATAATCAAATTGGATTTTCCTACAACCGGGTTGGAATAACTTGAACGGGTACTTAATTGCCTTGTATATACCTTTGTGCGAGGCTGACGGGTTTGAGGCAGCAAGACAAATAATTTAGGAGATTTGGGTGTTGTAGGTGAATTTTTGAGGTCGGAGTTTGCTGGAGACTGTGGCAGGCTGTTGATACAGAAATGGATGTGCACTTGCTGTTTAAAATAGAAGAAGGGAGATTGCATAGGTGTAGTTTGATTTAATTGATGGATGTGCACTTGCTGTTTAAAATAGAAGGGAGATTGCATAGGTGTAGTTTGATTTAATTGGAGAAGATCTAGAGGAGAGGGCAGCTGCTGTGTGGGTTGGGAAACAAGGCTCTTGGCTTCAGACTCTAAGGAAATTGTGTGAGGAAGACCGGCCAGGTGGCTACCTACGGTTTATGTGAGTGGATGTAAATGAGTGACATTGCTGCGAGGCAGTTAGACGTTAGCTTGGATTACTGTAGTGTGGTTTGAGAAGGAGATGGAGTGGAAGCAGTTGGTAAGAAAGCTCGTCGACGCCAAGCGTGCTGAGGGATTTACTGGAGGAGGAGCTTGTTGGCGATGGCCTGAGGGTAGGAGCAGTTGGGAGACGAGTGGATTGTAGTGTGAGGCGAGAAGGTTTGTCGGTAGGAAGGAGAAGAGTAGTGGGGAGAAGTTTGCTTGGAGGCTATTTCATGTTCTCAGGCATGAGTAAGAGGTCGCTGACTGATAGAGTCTGCCGAAGGTGTTCATCGGTGGAGTACCTTCTGGAAATAGTAGACGAAAAGCAAGTTGGATCAGCTACACGAAATGGATTGAACTCAGGGATGTTAGCTTTAGACCAGGAAGGAGGAGAGAAATGTTGGCGTGAGATCGGGAAGGCAGACGGTGGGAAGAAGGGAGGAGAGGGTTTCACCTTTGCAACTCATCAGATGAAGGAGATAGGTGCAGCTGGGAGAATTGATGATCCTGAGGAAGGAGGTGGGAGAGATTGTGGCTTGCAGTCTGAGGAGTGATGGATTACCAGTTTGCTATTGGCGAGATGTTTTCGTGAGCTCAATTATGCATGAGGATGGGGAAGTTGGTGCTGGCTCGATGGAGGAAGGAATGAGTTCGGTTTTTTTTTTTTCGTTTTGGCTCTACACAAAGAACGGGATGAAACAATGAATTGAGGAAGTGGGCATGAGGGTATGGTAAGAGAATTGGGGCAGATATTTTTGTTTCATTTGAAAATTATTTTTTTTATGAATAAATTTTAATATAATCTCATTTAAAATATAATGTTAACGTGCAGTTTACTCATTATATTCGTTTAAAATAAAACTATAATTTTTTATTAACGTGCCGCAAGCCGTGGTCTATTGGTAGAGCAACCTCCTTGAAGGTCATAACCCCCCTCAGGTCAGAGGTTCAAACCCTCATCTGGCTAGTTTGCCGATAGTGAGGGCGGTCTTCAAATAGTTAGGCACATGAGGGTGGCTGATGACTCGCATAATAACCTCTGTCCATTCTTTTTAATATATATATATATATATATGATGGAATTACGCATAATAAACAACTTCCGAAGATTATTGGAAGGATAAAATAAAACTTAAATTAACAAATTTATTGCATAATGAACCATAGAGTCTTAGTACACTTAACATTTAAAACCTTTTTTTATCATTCATTTATTGATTTTAAATTTCATTTTATCTTTGGAAATATCTTTTTAAATCTGTTTATTATGCTTTTAACTGCATTTTTAGGGTTAATTTGAAATCAGGTTTAAGCATTCTAGTGCTCTTATAATTCTCTAAATGTGATCATCGTTTAATTTATAAATTTAAAAAAAATAAATAAATTACATTTAGATTTTTAAATATTTTCTCGAATTTTTCTGTTTAAATATTTGAGTAAAATTCAAAAATGCATTAAAACTTAAAAAAGCATTTACACACATACCACCCAATTCATATATATATATTACAAATATAGCATCTGAACTTTAATTTTCTTACTTATATCACCCAACTCTTTCGTATCACATGAAAAAATATCACTATTTTGATTCTTAGTATACAAGAAATTGAACTTTAGATGCTTATTGTTATATGAAGTTTATAGCACATACTAATTTCGATCTTTTCCTTTATGTTGAGAGGCACTCTTTTGTACAGTTAAGAAAAGCAATTGGTGTATAGTGGATCCTTTTCCTACATAAATATTCATTGCTCTTTATTGGATATAATTGTAATCCGGTAGTGATATATAGGGCTGATGAATGGAATGTCAATAAATGGCACTGGGAAGGTGCATTGAAAGTTGTAAGCAAGGGAGAGGATTGCATTATTAGACTGGAAGATAGAGAAACAGGTGAAAACTATTCAATCATCTAATGGAAACAAGCAAATTGTGAAAAGTTATTGCAAATTGTTTAAAACGTAATAATGACTTTATTGTGTATCAGGGGAACTTTTTGCCAGAGCATTTGTCAGAACAGGAGAGCCAAACCCAGTGGAGCCTGTTATTGACAGCAGCAGGCACGTTGCTTTTTATCTCATGAACCTATGCAGCTATTTCTCCAACAGGGAGTTATGCTTGAATATCAGGATAATTGGTTTTTATCTCATCTTGTATATTTCAATTCAATGTTTGAGGATTAATTAGTCCTTAATCCTTCCTTTCCTTTCTTTTCCAGGTATTTTGTGCTTCGAGTTGAAGAGAATATCGGTCTGTTTCTCATTCTTTTATTGTATTGCAAATTGTTATTTCGAAAGTTAGGTTTGGCCTCACTTTCTTTTTAAATACAGTTCTGCTTAATGATCAGTTCATTATTATTTTATTAGTTCCCAGCTTCCAGGATTTTCGTGAAGATAAAAAGTAGATCTAAAAATATCCGAAAAATCTTAGGATGCTTCCTGCCAAGATTATTTGCTTACATTCACATGTCTTTGTGTTGACATGTTTATACTCTATAGCAATTGAAGTACGGTCTAAAGTCTATATTATAGTAAGTTTATGTTCTCATAGTTTCATGTAAAAAAATACTGGTATCTTCTCGAGAAAGCTGAATTCACTAACATGATTAGTTAAATGTCATTGTAAAGCAACAAGTGAGGGTTACTGAAATACAATTTGATGCCTAATCTATTTATTTTCTTGGGTATTCTTTGAGGACTTTTCCCATATATTCATGCTAGGTATTAATGTCATGTGATGTCAATGAAGCCTTTTCTGTAGTAGAAATACTCTCCATCAATTCTATTCTATGCAAGTCTCTTTTGGGAACTTTTAGCCATGGTGTCATCCATTAATTTTATCAATCGCTCTTACATTCATTCTATTTCTGTTTGGGTTAGCTGCAGCTTATTAATAAGCCGCTGCGCAGTAGCTACCCCAGAAATTTGCTGCGCAGAAGATAATGCGGATATGCTGGTTGATTGTTTGTTTATTGCTATTTGAACAGCTGCGGCATAGCTGTTTCTGGACAAATGATCATTCTGCTCGTGTAGTAATGTTGTTTGCAACAAAACTGTCATAACAATATATTTGATACTTTAGAAGCAAAAATTCACTTTAAAACAATGAAAAAAATAAGATATAAACTTCACTTAACAATGACTATTATCATTACTAAAATAAAGAAAAAGACTTAAAATAACAATTAATAATGATAATATTATTTTTAAATTGGAGAAGGCGTATGCCACGAGTCAGACCGTCCTCTAGGGATACTATCCATTCTCGATCACTCTTGGCAGTGAAATCTGCTAGTTGTCTGCTCATCGGAAGGAGTCACACTTTCCCATGATTCTCCGCAGTCATATGTAGAATTGTCTCCCGTAGCTATGTGACTGACTTGACGTGACATGAGTAGGGAACTCTATAGTTTGTAGTGGCATATCATTTCTCGGGAGGTCCCTATAATCCTTGAACTAATCTTTCCTAAATACTTCAAAAGACATTTCATTAGTATTAACACAAGTATAAATTGATAAAAGAAGTAATTAATTACCGTTTTGTGTAGACATGAGGTCTCAGAAGACTCAATATACCAACGAATGAATATGTCATTACAAGAAGAAAACATACTTTACAAAATAACGGTTCTTGGTTGCCTTTAACTCATGTAATACCAACCTCGCATGTCACATATACATATCACCAAAAAAGATCATCCAGAAGAATCTAAAAAACTATATCAACGAAAAAAAGAGAGGAACTTGGTTGCCCTAATAAGATTTCACATGTGACACTAACCAATACCGACAATCAGATCATCCAGAAGAACCTATAAAGTCTAACGTCTCATTATGGACCTCTCAAACCCACCAAAAGAAAAACAAAAAAAAAAGAAAAAAATACTTAAAAACATTGTAAAAAACCCGAACAATTATAATCAAATGTACATGGAACTGAAATAAATATGAATTGTACAAAATAAACAAGCAGAAATTGATAAAAGAAGTAATTAATTACATTTTTGAGTAGACATGAGGTCTCCGAAAGTCAGTACACCAACCAACGAATTTGCCATTACAAAAATACAGTGGACCTTGTAAACAAAGGGTTTTTAGTTGTTTTTAACCCACGTAATACAAGCTTGTGTGTCACATATGCATATCACCCAAAAAGGTAATCCAGAAGAACGTAAAAACCACAACATCGAAAAGAAGAGAGAAACTTGGTTGCTTTCATTAGGATTTCATATGTGACACCAACCAACAACGACTAACAGGCCATACAGAAGGACCCATAAGCTCAAACGTTTTATCATGAACCTCTCCAATAAACAAAAAAAATAAAAAGAAATAGAAAATGAAAAAAATAGTTATAAACAGTGTAAAAAATCCAAACAAACAATTTCAAAAATGGAAGTAACATAAAATAATCATAAACTGTATAAAATAAGTAAGAATCGTCCGATCAACATCCAACAATGGCTTCTGTAATCTGCTCTCTTAATTCAATTGTTTCTCCAATACCTTCGTCATCCTGGGTGCAACCTTCGTATGATTTTATTTTTGGTTGTGGCATAAATTATCCTATGTGATGTTCAAATGCTTCAGGCGGGACAGATAAATGATCATCGTCAGCCATGTTGAATTTTTCATTAGTTTGAAAATGACGTCGTCGAATGTAGTTGTGGAGAGCTATTGTACTCGCTACAATCTGCACCTACTTCAGAAATAAATACGTTATATCACACAGTATGACCCATTTTTTCTTTTACCCTTTAAATGTTCTTTCAATTACACCGCGTAAGGAGTGTCTCTTGTTAAACATTTCTTTCCTGCCTGAGCAACACTGTTGGATCTTTCAAAATCGAGAATGTCATATTTCGTATCTGGAAATCACTTCAGATACCCTCTTTGTAAGGGATATCCAACGTCGACCCAATAATAATTATCTGTTCCAAATAAATTAATTAGTAATGAATTTAAAAAATATATGAACATGATTATTATTTGAACAAACTTGAACGTGAGTGAGGGAAGTTGGGTTTTCGATTTCTTATCGCAA